TATTTTTATATATGAAAAAAAATATTGAAATGAATTTATTAATTTTTAAAAAATAATAAATTATATTAGTTAGACAATTTTTTATTTTTTTCATTTTAGAAAATATAAATAAAACTTATGTCAGTTGTGTTACTGACTTTTCATTTTTTTATATATTTTAAACTATAGTCTAAAATTTAATAAATACAATATTAAATTTAGTTCTTTTAGATCATTATTCTTTTTTTGGACTTTTATATAAAATTATTTTTCAACTAATTCTAATTTTAAAAATTTATTTGTCTAATTTATTAAACTTTATAAACTGTTTTATTATTACAACTCTATCAAATTAAAAAAAAAAATTCTATTTTTCGCAACTGTTTTTTTACATAGCATATGTGTTTAATAGTTTATCTTAACACATTTAGTTTTTAAAAATTTACACAATTATCTTACTGAATATTTTTTATTTTTTGATTTTTTTAATAATATTTTAATATTTTCTATTTTTTTAAATTTTTATGACAAACTGATGACAACTCCATCCTTTACGTTAGTATCTATGCTAACGCACCGATATCCCATTAATTTTATTGAAAAAAATAGAGTTATTTTAAAATCCACACTAGGGAACCAGGTAAAAAAACCTCCGCTAGAGGTGCTCTTAGCATGATTAATGTTGTTCATTGAAACATGCGGTTGTAAAAAAGGATTTTTTTTTTGGAAAGCAAAAATAATTTGTATTAACCTTCAAGTGTAGTGGCATAAGCAATGCCAGAGAGAATGATACAACTACAACAGGAAAATCACCAATTCAAGCCAATGGCAAAACAAATAATGGAGAAAAACTCAATATCCAACTACAAACCTATGTAAAAGAGGAACAGGTTGTGTCTACATGAATTGAACACGTTTTGATTATTTGTATCTTTTTTCTGCCTTTATTGAATTGTTGACAAATAGAGTCACACGAGGGGCGGCAAGATTTGGACTCTCTTTTGCCGCAAATTCCGTTCAGTTTCTCCATTATATGGCTTCCAAATTCATTATAAGCTAATCATGTTTTCTTAGCTTCAAACAAAACTAATTAATAAAACTTTCTTTTTAAACTTCAAACAAAAGCTACCGTATACTAAAAGTTATAAAAGATGCTCCAATTCAAATACAAAATACAAAAGAAAACATCAGAAGAAAGTAACATAGAAAATTACAACGTAAGGTCACATACCATTAATAGAAAAGTATAAAAATCACTAGAATCAATGTTTGAGGCATTTGCCTATTAAAAAAAATGTTTGAGGCATTACACATAATATCTTGATTTCATGATTATGGATGTGAATGCGTAAATATATGAAATTTTAAAATATTGAAAAATTTGGTTCGTCTTTTTATCATTTTCCAAACATCATAGCATTGATTATGTAAGTTATCTATTACTTGTTTGGAGTTCTGCAAATAAATGAGGGTGGAGGCGGAGCGGGCACAACACATTTTAAATTTAAAATTATAAAAAATTATGTTAATGCAAGCGGTCATAAAAGTCCAACAAAAAATGGGATTGATTGGATATATTTGAGGGCGCGGACCTAAAATTTTGGTTTACCATGCAAAATCGTACGAGAAAAACATATATGTCCGACAAGTCGAATTTGTTTTACCATCCCTGATATTGGGGTTGTCGAGAACCACTCAGCTCGAGTTAGACCAAATTGACCTCCTTTATTTATTAAAAATATTGACTCTAATTAATATTTGGTGTCTGATTCTAATGCATTTTCTTTCCGCCCTTCAAGAGATGATGAGTATGATCAGAGCTTGTCTATGTTGCCCCTTCCATATTATTTCATATAGAGTTAAACAATGACAACAGGTCGACCCACCCCCGCCTTTTAGACCTAGATCCGCCCTCGTCTCTAAATCCGATCGAGACTAATAATTATTCTTTCGCCCCAACAAAAAACAAATTTTTCTGCACCCGTCTCGCCCCACTCGTATAAATTGTATTTTTTTTTAAATGTATTTTTTTCAATAACAATAAAAATCAAAAATTAAATTAAATAATTAATTATTTTAAGAATAATTATAATGTTTAATTATTTTTATTTAAATTATATTTTAAATAAATAAATAATAATTCTAATAAACATGATTTTGTAAGATTAAAAAGTATAAATGAATAATAAAAAAAATAAATTAAATAAATTAAATTTAGTTGGCGGATGTAGGACGAGTACTACCCTCTCCCGTCTTCGTAAATAAAAACCGGGCTTTCTCTGCCCCTCCTCTATTTAAATCAGATTTTCCCCATTAATTTCGGAGTATAGGCGAGTAGATGTAGGCAGGAACAAATTTATTTATCATGCCTACATAGAGTTGTTTTAGAACTTTCATAGGCTCCAAATTATAATTTGAGAACAAAATTTATTAGTCATGGTTAAGTGCCTTTAAAATTCAAAGAAAGCCTTTACAAAATTTGTCTTAGCAGCCACTAGGTTATATAAGAACAAGTGATTGCTATATTCGATCCCACAATGTAAAACATAATTAGTTGGACATTAAACCTCTTTATCAATGAGTTGATATGTGGTCAACCTCTCAAACATTAAACCAAATTGATTTTTAATAATTTGAGTCTTTTTCTTAGTTTCCATTCAATTATTCTTTCTTATTATTTCATGATATTGTCTCATAAGTTTAACATCTCTATAATTTGCACAATTTTATATATCCCTTATATTCTTATAAATATGAATTAAAAGTATTTCTTCTTCATTCATCTGACATTTGCTTTGTCCTCATAATTTTACTAAAGAGTTTGATGAGTCAATCAATGCATCTATCTTCAAGAATTTTGAATACTTCAATTGATAAGTTGTCTAGCACAACTGTATTACTGTAAGTCATCTTTTTCAATGCTTCATTTACTTCTTGTTTTTGAATCCAACGGTAGTAATTATAATTTCAATCATCTTATCTAATGTCTAGTGTGTTAGAGTTTAGTGAAATATCATATCCTTCATTAGATAAGTTGTAGAAATATGTCTTTCACCTATCCTTTATATTCTTTTCCTGAACTATTCTTTAAAAAAATTTTATTCAAACTTTACTCTAAACACTTCTATTCCACCAACACGATTCTTTATCTCTAGGTCCAAAGCCTCTTGATTCTCCTTACGCCTCCTTATTCATGTTACAATCTCTTGGATCATCTTGTTCCACATATCATTTTAGAATCTATATTGTTTTTCACCATTCAAAGGCTAACACTTAACATGTAGAGCTCTCATGTGATTTCTTTTATCCACCCTCCTATTGACTCTTACATCTATAACCAATACTATATGTTGAGTAGTCAAGCTTTCTTCCGGTATAATTTTACAATTCTAACAAATCTTTTTATCTAACTTCCTAATAAAAAAAGAAATCTATCTGAGAACATGTTGTCTCATTCTTATATTTTATAAGATGATTGTCTCTTTTCTTAAAGCATGTATTAACTATAATAAAATCAAAAGTCGACGAAAACTTCAAGATGAATTTACCCTCTGTATTTATCTCCTCAAGACCAAAGACTATAATCTCATTCACGGTCTCAAAATCTTTTACTACACTCTATACATGTCTATTAAAAAAATATTTTTTATTTAAAATATATTTTAAAATAAATCTTCTAAATTCTCTCAAAATTTTATTTTAAAATCATGATAATAACCATGATCATGACTCTAAACTAATTATACTTAGAAAATATCTAAAATAGAATGTAACAAAACTCCTAGCTTTCAAGTGGTGCATTGTTTACCATTGGTTCTCTTTCACTTTGAACAGTCTTAGATTTGTCTTGTAATAAGACCTGATCCCTTTGTTTGGCTATATTCAAGTTCTTTTTTTGTTTATATTATTTTAAGCATCCATTAAAAATTTCATAATTTCAGCCGTTATTTAAATGCATGCATGCTAGCTCAATTCTCAATCATCAATCATCAATGATGCCGTCTTTTTTAAAGTTTTAAAGTTAATCTCTTTTTGTCATTTTATGTTCAAAATTTCTAAATTTGTTCATTGACACCAATAAAGTAAAGATGTTTCCACTTTATCCTTGTAGAGAATCTTCTACTAATTATAATTATCATATCATCCCCATTAAAACAACATTTGAAATGATTCTTGCGGTTGATGTTATTTACATTTTGCAACTATATAGTATATGAGATCCAAAGTTGGACCTACCTTATTTTATTTGTTTGTTTGTCTATTTGTTTCTTATGCTATGAATTTTCTATAATATCTATTGTCTTTAATATTATTTAATAATAAACAATGTTTTGTGACCAGGCCAACTCATTGCATGCACTAAACTACAGAATATCGTATATAATATATACCTTTTTGAAACTTGCGTAGCATGACATGCCACTAAATTAATAGTAACAATCCTTCCCTTCATCATGTTCCATCACACATGCATGTTTTGGAATTTATTGATAACAATAATATGAGATTAGGGTTTAGATCATGTTCCAATTATCTCAGATATTTAATCTACTAAAAAGTTTAGATTGCAATCTATCATTAATTGTTACAAGAAAAAAATTTATATTTTATATGATTTTTTATTAAAGACGAATCATTCATAAGAATTTAAATTTGATTTTAAATTTTAACAGACTTTATTTAGTGTGTTAGCGAGTTTTTTTCTCTAAAAATCGAGAGTTATGATTAAAAAAAAACAAGTTTTTACTTAATCTTAGATTAGATGAAGAAAAATAAAATATAAATGGAAGAAGACAAAGAAAGTAAACTTTCATTTTCACATTACTAGAAATTATTCAAATCATTTACGTTAACAGATTTTGGAGCATACATGAAGAATTTAATTTTCTGGTTGATATTGTTTATGTAGATACAAAGCTAGGTTCATTATATATTATTTATTTTTCAACTATAGTTTTTCATTCAAATGAATATTACAACAATTTTAATAAACACATAAATTATAAAACCCAAATACATGATCAAGTGTTCTTAGCCTTGTTTGGAGTTGATGCTTCATTGCTACAAATTGGACAAACCTTCTTAATTTGAAGCCACTTGCTTATGCAATCTTTATGATAAGGATGATCACAATGAAGTGTAACCAAAGCTTCACCTTCTTCATACTCAATCTGACAAATCACACAAAGATCTATTCCACTTTTGCTTTCAGAAGTTTTGCAAGTATAAGGATTTAAGCAAGTAGAAATTTCCTTTCTTGATAATCCTCTTGCTTCTTCTCCTATAAACTCTCCTAACTCTAGCAACTCTTCATAAGATAACTCATCTGGATCAACTTCATCTTCTTCTATATCCATTTCATCCTCGTCGTAGTCCTCGTCCTCGTCGTCATCGATATTGCTTTCTTCGTCTTCAAGAAACCGAAGATCCGTTTCGAACTCTTGGCTCAAAGTAAAATCAGCATCACCAATTTCATCATCATTAATAAAAGAAGAGTCACTTGATAAATCTTCTTCTTCTTCTTCACTTTCACTTTCAATGGTTGCTAGATTTGTGACTGTTGGTCTCTCTAACTCTTGTTCTTGCAAGCCAATTGCTAGAAGAAAGTCAGAGCTAACTTCCCCAAGTTCTGTGTATGGATTCTTTTGAGAAGATTGTTTTCCCTCATCGCGTTCCATCGAAGAACAAAAAACACGATATTGTGGTACAATCAAGGGAATGAGAATAGAACAAGACACTTGAGGAATTTGAGGAGATGAAACATGAACATGAGCATATAAAAGCATTGTTTTTTAGATTTCTTTTGAGATTAACAAAACTTCAATATCAAGTAATGGAAATCCATTAATCATGGATTCATTATATTCCAGATTCTTGTCTATTCCAAGGTCCTATCTTAGCATTTTACCAATATAATGGTCATAAACTTTGCACTTTCTTTTTGCATAAGTTAACCTTTTGTACAAAGCAACATAGCAAAACATTATCCATAAGTAACAATATACCTTACTCCAATACAGAACCTTCATTTTTGCATTATATTATTACCATGCATGTATTTGCCAAATTCTTGAGACACAAAAAACATCAACTACATGAATCAACTTTTGCCATATTCTATTCTGGACTATACTTCTTTTCACTGCATTCAGACGGAGATGCAACGAACCTTTTTTGACACTGGAGACATTGTGTAAATATAATTATTGAACTATAGAATGTTAGTACAATATAGAATTATTGATGATTTTGAATGGTATATTACTTACACCTACAAGATTTTCCAGAAAGAAATTCAAGTGGAGAATTGAATAATTTTCCAACGGTTAATTTTGAATTGAAATGAATTGAATATGAGTGAGAGAGAGGTTAACAAAGTAATGGTAACTGGTAAACCGTTATCTTTGCCGAGAGAATGGGCCTCATAGCTCATTAATCAAACTATTGGGCCTCTATTTAGCCCATCTCATTCTGGCACTTTGTGTGGGCTCGAGTGACTCTAACCCGGAAATTTTGTTTTATACCCTCCAATTATATGCATGCATCCAATTTCAATACACCTGATTTTTTACAAGAAAGTTCAAATGCAACTGCAACTGCAACTAAGAAGCATGGTTGTTCCTTGAAACTTAGTTATTAAACGATGACATTGGATGGTGAGTTAAAGTGATGTGTTAGAATTCACAATAATGAATGACCTCATACTTGGTTGGTCATTCATTTATGTGACATATAAATTATGAAGAGTCAAATGCACGTCCATGAATTGTCAAAATATAGACGTATATTAAATTGTTTGCAAGGTCAAAAGAATAACAATTAACTTTCTATCACGAAGATTTAAAAGATAAGAAGCACAATCCGATTATTTTCTAAAAGACTAGAGCTGAAACATAACAATCCGATTATTTTTTAAAAGACTAGAGCTGAAACATAACACCTAATGAAGTTAATAAAAGTTGAGAGAATATCTGATAAAGTAGAAGATATGAAAAATTAGATTTTGTGAGTGACTTATTTTGGACGCATCCAACTTCCATCGATTTGGTGAACATGTTTTCTATAGTTTCAATATTTGACATCACATACGAAACAAACAAATATAGATTGTCAAAGTTTTTGGCGCCACCTCAAGAAATTTGATATTGTTATGGGCCGCATACAAGTCCCACAATAAGGCCCAATAATTAGTTTTCAAGAAGAAGGCATGCAGAACAGATAGACCACCACCCTTGCCAATGACACATGATCACGCTTTCAATCACATCTCTTACTGTTGGATATAATAGAGCGATAATCCATACTAGGCGTTGAATCACATGCACGGTTTTAACCGCCCATACTACATAAATACCACTTTTCACCATTTTAGGTATTCAATCTATTTCCGCTCTAAAACTACTTTTCACTCATTCACGTATTTGGGTGTTAGAGTGCTAGTCTTGGATGTCCTCCCCATCCACCTCACACTGGAAGTTAGATTCACCATATTGGAAGATTGATCCTTCACATTCGAGTTATATTCCATGACTTATCACCTATCTCTAGTTCCCAAATGGAACAGTGGCTCCGTTTATGGGAATCCACTATCTTTTCACATATTATTCAGATAATTGATCTTCTTCTCACAAAGCACATATCACTTTCCCGAAAGAATCATATATCAAAATTGCAAAGACATGGTAACATCAAAGATTACTAGATCCACTGCTCAACATCATGATGTTGCCGTAACCGCTGAAGCTAAAAAGGTTCCACATCCTCCTTTGGTAGAAGATGATTCAAATCTAGTTACCTCTACGTCGATTCCCGCACAAAAATATTTTGTTCCTTCAAGAGTTGATCAAGGAACATTCCAAGCCCTTTCATTTTCCAACCTCTGCAATAACTTTTCCAAGGTCAACCTTCGGAGAAACCTCTGTCACAATCATTAATATGTGGCAAAGAGATGCTCCAAAATATTCAACAACTAAAACCTAACTTATACAAGGAGCTTCAAATATGCTGAACAATGTTTATAATTTAGTGCAACAACAAAACTTTTAAACCTTGGAGGACATGATACTCAAGATTAAATAGAACATGTACTGTATTTCTTCCAGAACTAGCATTATGCTTGAGACATCTTTGCATAATAACTAAGGAGTTATATCGTAGTTAGCTTCTATAGGCTCCGCTCAACCGTACAAAAAATTATTGAGATCTCCATGTCGGAACAAAAATAGAAGGCATCAAACTCCTTCACCGGACTCCGGATGGAGTAGTGGCACTCATACTTCCCCGCAAATTTATCTCCCTCGTAGCTTGCCAACACATCACTCTCGAATAGGAGAAAGTTACGAAGCAAATGCACCAACCTATAAGCAAAAAAGGAACCCATTATACATACACATTCTCGACAGTATAATCCTGATATCATTTGAGAAGCCTCTAAAGATACAAAATTACGATGGTATGAGAGAGCCGGAAGAACACATCAAATATGTGGACACCATATTGGATTATTACCATACCTAAGGAAATGTGAAATGTAAGCTCTTTACATTAACCCTTAAGAGTGATGTTATGACCTGGTTTAAAACCTTCCCAAATGAAAACATAGATTCATGGAAGGAACTATTTGACTTGTTTATTGCTCAAGTTACTGCTCGAAAACAACAATCTACCACTATGCGAGTACATCGATCAACTTACCAATGTATCAATGGTAATAGGAGGTAGAGATGATGTATTAAGATATTGGATGTTAAAAAAGGGCCGATGGCTAATTGAATGTTCTGAGAAAAACTAAGGTTAGAAGGAGCTTGTAGCTTAAGTTGACTACTGAATAGGACCCAACCATATATCAACTATGAGGATAAGCTCTTAGCCAAAGAGAAAAACGTAGAAACAAGAAACCCCAAATATAGTCGGGAACTAGAAAAAAGTATGAAGACACCAAGTCAGATTTTATGCATACACTCCTTTGAACACATAAAGGGAGAAAATATGATGGTAATATTCAAATAATGAATTAAAAGAAACCAATATCTAAAACCATTAACCAATGAGAGAGTTAACTAGGATGAATAAGTCAAAATAATGTTGTTTCCAAAAAAAGTAACGACCACAACACTAATGAATGCATCCACCTAAATGATGCAATTGGAAAAAATGGTCTAAAAGAGATGACTCACTATGTATACCTAAGAAGTATGTCAAAGATATGAACATAACAAAAAAAGATACCACATGGGGCGGGATAAGTTTTCAAGGGAGAAATTGTCCTTTCACCCGAAAATAACATCCACCAAGAATACTATTGCAGTTATGAGATAAGCCAAGGGAAAGAAAGATACTAGCAGCCAGGAAGAAGAAGATCAAAAAGGGAAATGAAAATATATCACTTCAACTATTGGAGGCCTTCATAGAACAAAAAAGTCCTACCAAGGGGACTATAAAGTGGAGGATCGTCGAGTTAATGGAAATCAACAATGAGGAAGAAACAACTTTGTAGGAAGTTAGAAAGGCATTTCCTTGGATTTCAAGACAGTGAAAAGGTAGGTTCAATCTCAAACGAGATTTCCACTTGGTGATAACGGCTACCATGGTTAATTTTAAGAATATATAGGATCCTCATTGACGGGAGGGGGAGGCCTTTAACAACACAGTAACTCACCCTTAGGGGTATATTGAAATGATGGTTAATAAGGGAGAATGGAGGCACACTAGGACAAATAACCTAAAATTCTTAGTGATTTCATGCAAAAGTGTCTGCAATTGCATCTTGGGCAGAAATTTTGCGTCCATAATGAATATGGTGGCCTCCACGACCCAACTCAAATTTAAGTATCACAATGTTCATAAATGAACCAATGACGATATGTGCTAACCTGTCTGGAGCACAAAGGATACATAAGCTTTGTAGAAAAGCTATGAGGGTAAAGACAAAAAGAAGGCGATGGAAATCAACGTGCCCCTCTCACTAAAAAGTTAAATAAAATGACAGTCAAGTGTTTGAGATCACTCAAGTTCCCTAATACTAGAATGAATTAATACTGTCAGACGTCAAGACAAGTCTTAAGACATGCATGCTAAAATTCTGGTACAAGCAACACACATATATCCCAACATCAAAATGATGTTAAGACAAATGTTATAACATCTGGTAGCAGACCAAATCAATGAAGCTATAAGTAATACAAAAATAAAAACTACAAAATGATAAATAAGACATAGAGTTGTTAACCCAGTTTGGTGCAACATCACCTACTATGAGGGCTACCAAGCTAGGAAGGAAGTCCACTATCAGTAGTATTAGTTCAAACCTAAACATTCCCAGTTTACAACTTCTCGCCTAATCCCTATCCAATGCAACTTCTACCTAGGTACCTCCTAGATATGAGAAATCGTCATCTCAATTCCTAAACCATCTTAGTGATATCTAACAGTCCCAATCCCAGTGACTGTAACAAATACAAACCAATTTAGGATATTACACTTCAAATACAAAAACTCAAACTCTTGCTTAGAAGCTTCAAGTGAGAACAATAACTTGATTAACGGTGAAGTAACAATTAGTCGACTACATAGTATCAAAAGATACATGGGTAATTTACAAAATACACAAGAGACTCTCAAAACCTAAGACTTATGCTTCCCCTAATTTTACAATTATTGAAAACTTAAATTATATTAA